CTTCAGCCCTTCAGTCAGTACTGCAGTCCAGTGGTAGCTAGAGCAACATCACATTTTTAAAGCCCATGAAAAGCATTTACTGTACCTGCTCAGAGTGTGTACTGAAACAAGATCCCTGTGCTAACACATCCTTTCCTCTCCTAAGAAAAGGATGTGGGCAGACGACTGCTTCATGGTTTTCTTCTGCAGCTGTAATCACTTATTTTGGTTTTCCCATTAGTAAACATCCATCGTTTATGACTCGTGTTGATTAACATATATCTTCCCCCTGTGTTTTGAGACAATCTCATTTTGTAGCTGGCAATTCTCTTGCCTCTCCCTCCCCAGTGCTGGGATTAGAGACTCCATTCCTGTTCAATCTGCAGGATGCCCAGGTGTTTATAAAGCAGTCAGGATTTTTCTAAGGGTTCAGCTAACAACTTCATGTCAGCCACTGTTGTGCACAGTTTAACCATCGTACAGTTCACTCATGAACCATTTCCAGACCACTTTCTATTACAGAATGAATTAAGGGTATTAATTTTCATTGAAAAACTGCACTTGAAGGTAGCTCAGTTGATAAAATGCTTATCTTGCAGACATAAGGACTTGAGTTTAATCCCCATAATTTATGCAAAATGCCAGGTGTGGTGGCGTACACCTATAATCACAGCACTGAGGAGGCAGGAACAGGTGGACTTCTGAGGCCAGTTGGCCAAGCAGCCTAGCCTACTTAGTGAGCTCTGGGTCAACAAGGAAGTAGGCAGCACTGCAGAGGACACCTCAAGTTGTCCTCTGGCCTCACATACACCCCACAGCCACAAGAAAATTTGTTTGTTTGTTTATTTATTTATTTGAAGAAACAAGAAATTCTAACTCCTTATAATGACAGTTCCAACATTAAGATTGAGAGAATTTGTTTTGTTTTATATACAACATAATCAAAACCAAGCACAGAGCCTAGAAATAAACACAGAAATTTTAAAATACTTTTCAGAAATTAAGTGGGATGTTTAAAAACATATTATAAGCCACTGACTTTTAGAAGCAAAATGATTTGACATTTTCTACAAGCTATTTACAAGAATTAAGAAAAAAATCATTAGTGCCCACCAGGGGGCGCCAAGGGCCGCTACAAACAGGCATTCCCAGGCAGTTCTGGACTCCAAGTTGGTTTTTAAATTCTCTCATCACTTGGCAATATTTTTTAAAGCAGCTTAAAAAAAATTATACAAAAGTCCAGACTTCCAGATCTCGTACTACAGGACCCTGTCCACACTGGGCTAACAGAGGGGCAACTGTTTTGTAATCTGTCATCTGACCTGGTAGATCCTGAGCTCTTAGTAGCTGACAAATGGCAGGTCTTCATTAACATCAAGTGTGAGGAACAAACGTATCACAAAAAACCTAACTTTCTCCTCCTTTCCTTTCTTTTCTCCTTTTTCCCTGAGGCGGGGTCCTGCTGTAGAGTGCAGGATGTCCTTCAGTGTAGAGTCTCCACTGTGCTCAGCTGCGGGCTTCTAGTCTGGTAACCTCTCCCTTGACTTTAAATTAAGATCCTGTGTTTAAGATTTCTGTATTGGTCAGGCAGTGGTGGCTCTCACCTTTTATCCCAGCACTCAGGAGGCAGAGGCAAGCAGATCTCTGAGTTCAAGGACAGCCAGGACTACACACAGAAACCATGTCTCAAAAAAATAAATAAATAAAATAAAATAAAAACAAAGCAAAACAAAAGATTTGTCAGCACAATCATTACTAAGTATAAGAAAGTTATAATATTAATGTGAAAAACTAAGGGAAGATGTGCTCACCTTTCTCTATGGACTAGAATGCAGGCCTTAAATTACTCCTCTCACTAAAATTTAACAAGATAAAATAGGGTTTTAAGATGCTTATTAATTTTATGTAAATAACTTTAACCTTTCCTAGCCTCCATAAGATGTCAGCTAAAAGGACAGGCACATAGCGAAGGAAGCTGTGGAATGCATTAGCTCACTTGGTTTTAGTCTCACTTGGTGGTCAGTGGTTTCATTTCAAGCTCCTTTCTGACTACTAAACGGTCTGTCAGCCTAGGCTAAAACTCATTCTCATCCAGAAAATAAAGCTTTTTTTTTTTTTTAGCTGCCCTAAAACTAGCTTTCCACGCCTTCAATCTCCCTTGCCTTTCCTATTGCCCACTTTAAAACAGACTTGTTATTCTGCATGCACAGTCACTATTTCTGTATACAGTGCTAACTTGCGAAGTAAATTCTATCCATCAGTTAAGATTCAAATTGCTACATTCTCCATAAAACCTTTTCTGATCCCTTGTATTGGGGGGGGGGGTCTGTTGCTGTGGGATGTCTTTCTGTGTGCTAGAATATGTTTTGCTCTCACTGGTTGATAAATAAAGCTGTCTGGCCAATGGCGAGGCAGAATAAGGCTAGGTGGTACACTCAAACTGAAGATGGAGATGAAGAAGGGTGGAGTCATGGCAGAAACTGCAAGCTGCCACCAGAGAAGCAAGATGGGAGAGAACAGGCAATGTCATGAAGCCGCATGGCTAAACATAGATTAATAGGAATGGGTTGAGTTCTAAGAGCTAGTTAGTAATGAGCCTGAGCCATGGACCAAACAGTTTGTAATTAATATAAGCCTCTGAATGATTATTTTATAAGCATATGGGAGAGCTTGGGTGGGAGAGATTTGTCTGGACTGCAGGGCTAGGTGAGACAGAGAAACTTCCGTCTACAGTCTGTGTACCTTTAAAGTTTGCTATACTCCATAATGCATACCTATTTTTTACTTGCTGGAAGGGGGCTTTGCAAGCACTCTGCCCTGAACTATACTAGCAGCCTCTATAATGTATACAGGTTTTCATGCACGTGTGATCCCCACTTCCTTCCAACTCACAGAGTCCTTGAAGGCAAGGAGGCCCACTGTTCATTCACTACCAAAGTATTCACTCTGGCCCTCTTCCTGCTCTGGATGCGATGCTGAGTAAGATAGGATGCACTCTACTCTCTGGGAAGAGTGTTTTCAGGCTATCACAAGGACAGAAACAGTGTCAGTGTAGAATGTAGGACAAGTAGCTGAGTGATTAGGGAGGATTTCCCAGTGAAGCGAGATGTTGGGGAGGAGAAAGTGCTTCAAGAGGCAGAAATAGAGCATGACAGGGGCCACAGACAAGCAGGGAAAATCAGAGCAATCCGGTATTGGTCAAAGCTGGATGGGGTGCTAAGAGCTAAGGCTGCAGAGAAACAGGTCACTAGTAAAGAAGCTGCATTGCATCATACTGACTACCCTTCTATTGTGATAAAACACCACAACCAAGTCTCACGAGAGACTTTGTGCTCACAGTTCTAGAGGGTTAAAGTCCATGATGTGGAGCAAAGGCATGGCAGCAGAAGCAGGAAGCAGAAGGACATCTTCAACCACAAGCAAGGAGCAGAGAGAGCAAACTTGAAACACTAAGTCTCGGAACTCTCAAAGCCAGCCTCCAGGACACATTCCTCCAGCAAGGCCACATCTCCTGAACCTCCCCAAACAGCACCACCAACTGGGAACCAAGCACACAAACAGAGGCTGGGGGGAGGGTGCAGGGGGGAGGGTGCAGGGGAGTGGGGCGCAGGGGGGAGGGCGCAGGAGGGCATGACATCTCACTGAAGCCATCACAGGCAAGAAGGATAGTTAGCCAGACTTATTTTCAGAGTGCAGAAAAACTGGGGACAGGAGGAAGAGACCATTTTAAGACATTAATCAGCGAGATGCAAGGGAGCCTAAATCAGGGAGTAAACTATTTAAAAATATTCAGAAAAAAAATGTGAGAAGAAGGAATGAACGGACAGGTCCAGAGCCTGCCCCTGTCCCCCACACACAGGAGAGGGTGGATGGACAGTGTCCAGCACCTAACCCTGTCCCCCACACACAGGAGAGGGTGGATGGATGGTGTCCAGCCCCTAACCCTGTCCCCCACACACAGGAGAGGGTGGATGGATGGTGTCCAGCCCCTAACCCTGTCCCACACACACAGGAGAGGGTGGATGGATGGTGTCCAGCCCCTAACCCTGTCCCCCACACACAGGAGAGGGTGGATGGATGGTGTCCAGCACCTAACCCTGTCCCCCACACACAGGAGAGGGTGGACGGATGGTGTCCAGCACCTAACCCTGTCCCCCACACACAGAGAGCATAGTGGATGGACAGTGTCCAGCACCTAATCCTGTCCCATATACACAGGAGAGGGTGGATGGACAGTGTCCAGCACCTAATCCTGTCTCACACACACAGGAGAGGGTGGATGTGTAGATGTATCCAACCGTCTTATTAAACAAGAAACACAGAGCCGATTCAGAGAAGAAAGCCAAGAGGTCAGAGCTAAGAGCCTCACCCTTCCTGCTTCAGCGATCCTCTTCAGTCAAGAGAGCTCTCCGAAAAGGGACCTACTTCCTGTGTGTATGTCTTTATATAGTCTAGCTGTTCTGCCTTCTCATTGGTTGTAAACCCAAACACGTGACTGCCTCGTCACTGCCTGTATGTACCGCCCTCCAGGTCCTTAAAGGCGTGTACCACCGCCGCCACGCACTTGCAAATCCTGTCTCACACACAGAGAGCATAATGGATGGACAGTGTCCAGCACCTAATCCTGTCCCACATACACAGGAGAGGGTGGATGGATGGTGTCCAGCACCTAACCATGTCCCCCACACCCAGAACATGGTGGATGGATGGTGTCCAGCATCTAACCCTGTCCTGAACACACAGAACAGGGTGGGTGGATGGTGTCCAGCATCTAACTCTGTCCCCCACATACAGAACACCATGGATAGATGATGTCCAGAGCCTACCCTTGTCTCAAACACAGAATATTGTGGATGGTGTTCAGAAAATGTGATGTTCCTGGAGGGAAAGGCCATCTCCTCCTAAGGTACCCACAATGGCAACACAACACAGTAAGAAGCCATATTCAGATGGAAAAACAAACCTACCATAGCCAAGCCACATAGTCAGCTGACATGGTTTAGTATAAATGGTTACTTTACCTCCTCATCTGCCAATCCTTCTTCTTCCATGGCCACTTCTAATTTCTTCTGCCTTTTCCAAAGAAAAAACAATTAGACTTTCTAAATATGTTCCTATTTCCATTTAAGAACTAGTTATTTAATCAAACCAATCATTGAGTATGTTATGCTAAGAAAATCTTTCAAACTGAACCAAGATTCAACTATTCACTACGATCAGGATTCTTTCTTGAGATACTTAGATTTAGCATTTTCATACTGACCAAAGCTTTATTGTTTTATCTCTCAATAAAAAATGACTTTTCCAACTCAGGACTCTGATGGCAAATGCATATATTTTATTAAAATTCTTTGGAGATTGAAAAGTCATATATGTATAGGATAATAACCACTGAGCAGAACTTTTGCTTTCCTAGGTAAAGCCAAGTGTGGCTATTCAGCCTTTCCTTTTTTAAAACGTGGTTAGTTAAGCCAAGTATTTCGGATGGGGTTGCAAATGGTAACAAGGGCTGTGGAACACGTTTTGCCACTCATTCTTAAGTGAATAGTATTTCATGAGACAATGTTGGTTTTTTTCCTAATCGTATATCTGGACAACTCATCCTAAGTTAGCTTTGGATTAAACAACAGAGTTGGACCAACACTCCTGAATTTACCCAAATGGGTCGAGGACTGAGGATCAACTACCACACTCTTTATATCTGCTACTCATGAGAACACACCAAAGATAAGCTCCTTTTTAAATCAGTACTAAGATCACTCCCTTTCTCCCCATGGAAAATCCATTACCACTGTATCTGAACCCTGTTAGAGACTCTGCAGCCCAGTGATGGTGATGAAACCAGGGACTAGCTCTCAGTGCTTATCTCAGGCTGAGTGCCTGCTGCTGGATTTCACTGATGTACTATTCCCCAGGCCCAGCCCTCAGAGTGAGATTTACACTCAGTACCGGCCTCTGTGCCTGCTATCACCAAAGGGTCTTCAGGGCTGCATGGTGGGTGAGTTCCAGTTTTTTTATGCAGAATGAGCAGGAGCAGGAGGACCCTCCAGGAGGGACTATCAATAGAGAAAGACTTCCTGCCTGTCAAATCTACTGCACCCCTTCCTCAGTTTCCACAAGAGCAATACTTCATGAAATCATGCCTTAATCTGCAAAACTTGTATCCATCCATTTCTATCATGTCTGAACACGAATATCCCTGGAACGACTTTTAAAAGTAAGACTTTCCTGCTGGGCACGTTGGTATTCAACTGCAATCCCAGCACTCAGTGGACTGAGGCAGAAGACTGCCAGAATGATAAAGGCCAGCCTGGCGACCTATCCCAGCACTCCCAAGGCCAGCCTGGCCTGCAACACTGCCATGTGGCAGAGCAGCTACAGCCTAGGATGCTGAGACCTGGTACATCCTGCTCTACCTCCTCCACTTCCTCTTATTATGTGTGAAGAATGCTCTTCCTGGTCAAATGTCACTGTCATTTGGGAAGTGCTCCCATTTCACTAGTCAAAGCACGTGTCCTTTTTGGTCCCCCTACTGCCACTCCCCACTCTCTCACAGGGCATCTGTGCACACCAGCTCTTTTACTACACTCCAAGTTTCACTGAAGCAAAAGGACATGCCATTCTTTTTTCTCTATTCCCACTAATAAAACACAGCACCACTAATGTTCTACATTAGTGAGTAATTTCTAAAGCCATCTCTCTAAAGGAAAGCACAAAGGCGTAACACAATGCTGGAAAGATCTGTGCTAAACACAACTAATATGCGATACAAGCATATGTGCACACGACTCTGGGAATCCAGGAAATGAAACAAGCAACCAGGTGTACTGCAGTGCAGGAGACTTAACAGCAGGCGGGTCCGACCAGCCACAGAGCACTAAGAAACTTTAGCCTCTACTGTACCTGGTTTCTCTCTCTTCATGCTGCAAAATTAGGTTGCTGTAAAAATTCTCCAGTGTGAGCTTGGCCACAGTCACTCTTTCCCGGGTATGGTTGCTCATAGGAAAGGTGGTTGTTGCCCCTGCTGTCATTGCCATAGTAACTGGAACTGAAATGACATATGAAAGCAAATTCTTCAGCAATTTAAAAACATAAACAACACAAAACAAAACAAAAAACCTTTCCCATTTCTTTTATCAAACTCTAAAAATGTTTGATTTCTACTAAGAATAATTCTACTACTATTAGTTAACAACCCAGGTTTCTTAATTAAAATACTACAAAACTGTGGGAGCCCACAGAAGTTTCCTAGTGAGCTTGCTTTACGCAAGCAGGGCTACATAAGGGGATGGCTTGACCATGTATGTGGTTACCAGGTGTTTAGAAAGAGTCTGCACTAGGCTGTGCGGTGTGCTTTGATCTAGCAAGGGAAAGGTCTTTTGCCCTGCCCCTTGGCATTATAAAAAGCCCTTTTGAAGAGAGAGAAGGGGCTGCTGGGTATTGATCCAGGTCTTCCCGAAGCTATCCTGTGTTTCTGTCTGTCTCATCTCCACTATCTTTCTACAAATTCCTTATTCCTCTCTCCTCCTCATAGGAACCCTTTAAAAGGTGGGCGCTGGCCTCCCAAACAAAGCTAATAATAAACAGATGCAAGCCAGGTATGGTGGCTCATACCTGTAATACCAGCACCAACCACCCCCAAAGATGCATGGGTCTCAGAGCCAGAGAAATTAATTCTGTCCTGGAAAAACCAGAAGTTAATTAGAAAGAGGCACTGGTGGCAGTCCACACATTCACAGGCGCACTAGCTCACAAAAGGCCGTACGTGGCAGTGTTCAAAACAAGGAAGCACCAGTCCATTTTGCTGATTTATTGACCACTTGTCAAACTTTGTAAAATTTTGCCAATAGTTACATTCCCAATAAATATAATCTCTTAAGATAGAATGTGGTTTCGATGGCAAGCACAGCTTCATAAATCCTCTGAAATTTGGCATGTCCTATCAAACATGCACGCAGGCACCAGCACTCTATGCAGATATATGTTTTAGGGATGGAGTCACAAATGCTCTTTCCATTCCAAAGTCTGTTTCTGAGATGGCACAAGATGTAGCTTTTTCCCCCCAGACTATGAGGCATGTTTCATTGTCAAATAAAGCTCAAATGCCTTTGAAAATCAGACAGTAAATATAAATCAATCAGTTCTGAATGGTATACGTCTACTCAGAGGCATCCAAGTGCCAACTTTGACGAACCACTGTATGAAGGTCATTTCAACCCTTAGGAAGGCAAGGAATTTGGTAAAACAGCCCTTTCACAGAAAGACAACTCTACAGGCCACGGTGGTAGCACTTCTGCAACATTTGCTTACCACAGGCTTTGATAAGTCACAAAGACAAGAGCAGCTCATACATAAAGGATTTTTGGTACCTAGAAGAAGGTCCTAACAGACTATTCTGGACAAGAGATGGCTTGCCAGGTGAGCATCCCAAATTCCACTCAGCTGACCAGCATTCCCCACAAAGACATGAAGACATAGGGCTCTGCAGACCTGAGCAGAGCTGGAAGCCAGGGGTAGGGAAGAAACAAAGAACTCCTGTTCATCGGGCACAGATTGGAAGTATGTAGTTTAACCATGGTGAACTCTCATTTCATTGCTGTCTCATGGGCTTTAGCAGACAGTGTACTACTATGTGAGCGCCTCAAACTCACTACAAAGCTGTTCTGCAGACCGGTTAACTCTCCGGTTATGAGAAGCTGACCCAGCCCTTGGTTAAAACTTTTATGGCTTCTTCTGCACACACCATTCTTCTGCACACACCACATCAAATTAGCTTACAAAGCGTAGCTGGCAGACACCAGGGATGGGTATCTCAGGACAACTGTATTTTATTCATTGACTGTATTTTATTCATTGCCTTAGGACAGCAGCCCTCATGGCATCCTTAGGACAGGAAGCTCACACAGCAATGGGCTGTGGAGTCAGTAGTCAATTCCAACTTGCTTTGGAGTGTTACCCAATCCCTCCCTCATGCCTACAGTCCTGCACATGACCTCTCTTAAACCACTCAGATGTGTGGGCACCTGCTGATGGTCTGTGGCTCTACTGTGGTGTCTCTAACCTTATCACTGCTCATTCTTTGGTGGACGGTCTCTGAATCTGCACCTCAGGCACCGGTGTACATCACTGCCAATCACTTGCCCCATTGCTCTAACTAGAACTTCTCCAGGCACTATCTCCCCAGTTCCTCTTTGAACATTCACCACCGCATCCTATCTGACACAGAGCAGAAAGTAATGAATGACGGAGACCACCTCATAAATAAGAACAGCAGGAAGGGATGAAAGAGCTGGAAAAAAGCAAGGTTCTCTGACACTAGGGTCAGAAAAACAGTTCTAATCCATCCAGATCGTAAGGTCTGACCCTAGTCACCTTTCCCAAGAGGGGACTGCAACCTGTGCTCTGCTGACTTCACAGGCCTGAGGCCATGTGAGGGTAATGCCCAGGAAACCCACAGAAAATCAGGGTGTCTCTGTAAGCACTGCATGTAGCTTCATTTAAAAATACTGCTGCATGATATAATAACAGTATTTCTTTAAAATTAATAGTAATAGAAAGTACCCCAAGAATTGTCACAGTCACAAGATCTGCTAAGGACTCCACTGCTTTAACTGAACCCTAAGCAAAGCATTTTTTTTAAAACCTCAGAATCCCAGGGCTCAAGTTCTATTTCGAGATCAGATGTGGAAAAGGCGAAAGTAGGGAAAGAGAAACAGCTGTCACACAGCTAACATCTCCCAAGTCATGTCTGCTGTCAGGATTGGGTGTGTGTGTGGCGGGGTGGGGGGGTGGGGGGTGGGGGGTGGGGGTGGGGTGGGTAATGGACCAAAGAATCAAAGCTTTCCAGTAAACTTAAGAAACCTAGATCACAGTTAGGATGCTCAGGCAAAACTTGCCAACTGTCTTATGTCAGCATGTGTGCACCCAAGGGTGCAGGCAGTGCCCCGGAGAGCATCCTCAAGGCACATGAAGCCCAAGCTCACAGATCTTCAGAGCTTAAGGAAGCAAGTGTCAGCTACTTTTCTCAACAAACACCTTTTGGGGGCAAGGGTCCTCAAGAGCTCCAACCAAGTGCAATTCCCAAGGACTTCAGGATGCTTTCTGTGCCTTTCCTTTGGCAACAAGTGGTCATGAATAGGGCAATGTCCAGCTGAGAAGACAACACCCAAAAGGTACGGTACCAGTTCCCAGAAGCAAAAACCAGGCAAGAGCCAACTGTACTACTCCAGGACAACAAAATCCGTTCACAAAGCTAAGGAAGAATCAAGCTTTTCTTAAAACCTCTTTTAAAAATGCAAAGTGACACTGATCATGGAGTTACATGACTTGTAAGTAATGCTTGCTTAAGTCAGGAAAAGAGGGTGGAGGAGAGACACCCTTGGAGCAAGCAGACTGGCTGCAGCAGGGAGATGCAGAATATACTCCCTACTCAGCTGGCCAAGATCTAGTGGTCAATCAAAATCTGGAAGCTATTATATCATAGCCAAACTTACAGAAGATTGGCACACAAACAGAAAAGCAGTGGACTGATTTACACAGTAAGAGGTGGACTAGGAGGAGCAGGATCTGCATGTTGTCACAAAGCACTCCATTGTTGCAGGCCTGAAAAAAAGAAGTCTGAATTAGGATGGTGCTGTTGCCAGGAAACCAGGTTAGTGTCCAGAGGAACAGTCACTCAATGTAAACATTCAGCGACTTCAGGATGCTGTGGGGAGCATGGCTAAAGAACCAAACCCTGTCTCCCTGGAGCCTCCAGTCATGGCCAAGTGCTGGAGGAGACAATAACACTAACTGCCACAGCTGACCAAACTTCCCTTTAGAAGCAGGTCTGTGGGCCACAGGAGAAAGGAAGATAGCTGAGTAAAATCTTGGAAGACATTTTTATGTAACACATAAATGTGTGACAGAAAATAAAACAATTCCCAAGTCCCAGAGAGTGCCTGCATTAAAAATATAGAGAGAACAAATGAGGTCCTCAGACACATATCTGTCAATCTGAATCTTTATAAAGAATAAGCGGATGAGGCCTCTTTCCTCCCCAGAAGATGATGTAATGAACTTTACTCCAAAACCCAAAACACATGTCAATGAAAAATTATTTTTAGGTACTTTATAATTGTTATTAGCATATTCTTTCCATTCTTGTTAGACACATGTAGAAGTCCACATGGCTTGATTGAAAACGCTGTCCATCACCTCTGTTATCAATGCCGGCAGCACTGGGTAGGTGTGCTGAATGCCACACGAACAATCTATTTGAATTTAATGAAGTTCAGCCCACGCATATGTCCCATCTATATTAATTTCATTTGGGTTCAAAGCTACAAAGCCACCTGGTGCTGTGTTTACCTTCAGAAGGAAGTTTTCCTTTTGAGATGGGTGTGCAGTCCTTGGTGAGATTAGCTTTTACAAGGAAGAATTCTTTTGTTCTAACCAGACACAAGCAGTCTTTAAATTTTTTAATTATACAAAAAACTAAGAAATGCTCAAACTTTTCAAAGAATAATCTAGACCAGCAGTTGTTACACTGTAAACCCACACCTTTAACAGACTTAACGGTCTTTTATTAAAGCCCTTAGCCAGAAAAAGAGACAAGCTACAACTTGCAAGCCTAGAATTCCCAGATTGAGAAACATACACTAGAGTCCTTCAACTGCCTGTTCACTTAAATAAGTGACCCCCACCTCATCAGGGAAATACTACCAACAGTGAAGTCACCATTCCTTAGTTTAGTAGGCGGGAGACACGCACACACATCTATAAACAGAAGTGTGTCTCCATTACCCGAAAACTTCAAAGGCAGAAAGCAGTGACTTCACCTGACCCTGAATTCCACCTCAGTATCTTTAACGCTACTGGAATGCCCAGCAGTGTGAGGTCTCCTAATCCACCCTGACTGTGGTACTGATGCCTGAAGCTGCAGCAGTCCCAGATGCTAGGTCCCCGAGGAAGGAGCAGCCAGCCACAGTCTTTTGCCCAGGAGTAGATGAGAAAGGCAGAAATTCAGTCGGTTCAAAATCAACATTAAGTATATATTAAAAAATCCAAAATATATCATGTATATAGATGTCATATACTGCTTTTTAACACTAAATCTATAAACAAAGACCTTAATAAAGACAATAAATAAAAAGAGCATAAAATGGAAGTGTTCACCATTACAAACCAATGAAAGCACAGAGAATTTAACAGGCTACAAGGTGTCGGCAGTGGGCCCAAGAGCAGGAATCAACCTTCATCATGGCACAGAGCCAGCACCCTGTACCACAGTGGACCTGGGTTTTGTCCTAGGAACCAAAGGATTATGACAAGAGTTGATGTCATGGGAGCAAAACTAAAAACAAAGAGGATGACTAGTGAGGAAAATCTTGAAGTGAGTTTTTCAGTTACATCTCAGACTCCTTTTAGGCAAGCAGTTTTTTACAAGAACTCTCAAAACTGCCTTATTTACGGGGCTCAAATTACCAGTCTTTTCACAAGTCTTCCCTGCCAATGACTCTAAGGCTTACATTAAAGCCACAAACCAGGGCAGCACAAACCTGAGCTCAACTACCTTCCAGCAGTATAAGGCAAGGGGAGTTCAAACATGGAGAAAAGAGAAACAGAAAAGCTCTGGATCTGAGGAGAAGCCTGCCCTCTTTGTGTCCTGTACTCCAAGGAAGCTCTGCCTGACATCAGGTGTAGGCACTGTGCCAGAAGGTGAGGGCCTGGTGTGAAGAGAGAACAACCAATGAATGGACAGGCAAGGAAAGGGGATGAGTGGTGAGAGGTGGTGTGACATCCTGGTTAGGGGAGGGGCCAGCTGGGGAAGCAGCCTGAACCAGTGACTCAACCAGGCTGTATGTAAAGCTTGGGCATCTGGGGACACTGTTCACTTTCCTAAAAGTGAACTTCTAATAGGAATGCGCACACACACACACACACACACACACACACACACACACACACACACACACAATATCACTCACATACATACAAATGAACACACACGAACATACACACTCATATACATGCACACACATACACACTCACATACAAGCACACAGTCATTCACACTAAGAAAGACGGTGTGAATTTGTGTGTGTGTGTTAGTCCTTTCAACTGAAATCAAAGGAGATCAGACTAACTGAATAATTCTGAACTATAAGTGGTCCTTTATGGGAGCAAGAAATTAGGACTAAAATTCAAGTGTATAGCTTAAAACCTAAGTAGCCACCAGTGAGTTTTATTAATTTTGAGTCATTTAAACTCTCCCAAGAGACTTTTTTGGCTATCACAAGTGACCAAAGAAACTGCTCCCAGCTAAAAACAGACACATGTGACTTGTGACTGACACTGTGCTAAGCACACAGACCACTCAACTTCAGTCAACCCAACAAGATCCAGAAGGCTCTGTCCTGTTAACACATCAGAGTACAAAAGTCTCTAAGACTTAAACAAAGTAAGTGCTAATGACCATCCAATCAATTTACCACTGAGCCCTGAACAACACTGAAGCACAAACTGGATTATGTGGGGGGAATTGTGCGTGCATGCGTGCGTGTGTGTGTGTGTGTGTGTGTGTGTGTGTGTGTGTGTAGAAAAACCACCTAGAATGGAATAAAAATAAACTGCAGCAAGCTGTCATCAAGGACACCCTTTAATTCAACTTAAGAACTCAGGAAACCCTCCATGAAGCAGTGTCTGAGTTCAAGTCTCTCCAGAGTTTTCTAGACTCTAGTGCAGGTTCTACTATGAAAAATACAGCTGCATACCTTAAAAAGCCAATTTTGCTTATAGAAAACTGTCCTTTTAACTGATGTAAAGACTATCTTATCTGTTCAGGGACAGAGCCACCCCTCCATCCCCCTCACTTTCCAGAAGTGAAGCCCACAGACACATGTGGTATGGGAGAACAGGCCATGTGGCCCACAGACAAGGGTGGTACAATAGGCTATGTGGTAGCCTATAGTGAAGCTTCTACTAAGGCTGGTAAGGTCACAGGGCAGTGGCAATCCCAGGACACTACACCATCCTG